AGGAAGATTCCCAAGGTTTGATCATTTTTAAGGTACCTCAGAACATGTATGATAGCCTTGAGATGTGGCTCTCTAGGAGACTGCATAAACTGGCTTAAGTGTTGTACACTATAAGCAATATCCAATCTTGTATTGGTTAGGAAGTTAAGTTTCCCAACCAATTTTTTGTAGTATGTAGGATCAGGCAATAGAGATCCTTCATTGGCCTTTAGTTTGATGCTGCAATCAAGAGGAGCAGAAACTGTAGTATATTGATTGTCATACTCCTTCAATTGGTCTTAGTGAACTTCCTTTGTGATATGAGAACCTCATCATCTTTATGAAATACTTCAAATCCCAAGAAATTGTGAAGCCTTCCTAGATCTTTGATCTTGAATTGTAGGAAGGTCTTCAGTGCTTTAATTTCTTCAAGGTCTGTGCCTGTGAGTATCACATCATCTGCATAGACTTCCACAAAGACAACCAAAGTGCCATCCCTTTTATAGAACAATGAATAATAATTTGCCAAATATGTGAAACCCCTTGTACACAATGACTCACTTGGTTTATCATACCATTGCCTGCTTGCTTGCTTTAGTCCATACAAGGACTTGTTCAACTTGCAAACCACATTCGGGGCTTCAACCTCCAGCCTTGTGGAACCTCTATGTACACCTCTTCATGTAAATCTCCATGCAAAAAGGCATTATTTACATCCAATTGGAAAAGCTCCCATCCTTTCTTGACTGCTATGCTGATCAAGGTCCTCATAGTTGTCATCTTGACGACTGGAGAAAATGTCTTAGTGTAGCCTATGCTAGCTTGTTGCGTATATCCCTTTACCCCAAGCCGCGCTTTGAATCTTTCAACACCGCCATCTGTTTTGTGCTTGATTTTTTACACCCATTTGATAGTATCCGAGGAAGCTCAAATCTATTCAAGGACAAGGATGAAGCTTTGGGGTTTCAAAGAGGGCCTTTAACAAGATCTCAAGCTAAAAAGGTATAAAATAAGTTCATTGGACTTTAGGAATAATCAAAGAAGTTGCTAGTTGGGAGGAAGAGCTTAAGGATAAAGGATATGATTTATCTACGTGTTATAATTATTTTATGGCCCAAATTCATGTCCAATAAGAGGTGGATTAGATCCCAAGAAACATCCTCTGAAGAAGGTCCAAATCAGGCCACTATTGGACCAATTTAACACCTGAAATGTGTCCAAACTTGCAGCCCATGAAGTCCTACATAAAGCCACATTTTTATAGCATAAAAAGGACTTACTTGATGTCCAAGAATAGTACAATAGTCGTGCTAGATGTTGAGTGCAAGTTGGTGCCAAGTTGTTTGCAAATTCCTTCAAGATTTCCAAGATTTTCAATATTCTATCTAATATTGGTTTGGGACTTATTTCCATATGTTATAGGACTATATTTATTGCTTTCCTAGCTAGTTAAGGTTATGTTTTCCTTTTACTAAAATTTTTGAAATTACTTTCTAAGAATGACTTGGTTTTTGCTTCCTAGTATTTTCCTTTTCCTAAGGTAGTTGGACTTGTTATCTAAAGTAGTTTAGTGCTTTATTTCCTTATTTTTTAGGTACAATTTTGTGATTCCCTCTCTATATAAAGGGGTGTCTTCTTTATTTTTAGACTGAAATTATTCAGACTATTATCAATAAAAATTGTGAGATTTTTCTTGCACTCTTGTGTGTGGCTACTCTTGGATTTATTCTTCAACCTTCAAGACTCAACTTAAGGTGGTAAGATTAAACTCTTTCGAAATCTTAGATCACTTCTAGGTATTCAAGAAAGGTGATAAGTTTAGGCTTATTGTTGTTCTTGTTATTCTAAAGGGTCGGGTTTCACAATCTATCTCTTGTTTTTAATTTTTTACCAAAGGAGATTAGTTATTTGTTAGCTAATTATTGTTGTTAGGATTCAATTTGAAGAATAGACTTCTTGAATTCAAGAAACCCTTTCTTGAATTCAATCTATCTTTAATTTTCCGTCCTTTTTCGTTTCTTTATTTTCTTTTAGCTTCCGCACATTTTTCTTATTTTTCTTTAGTAATTCTTGAATCCCCTATCATGTTGTTATCACTATTTGCACCCTATAGCTTTCTTACATGCAAGAAATTGCACTAGATCCCAAATGTGGTTAGCATACAAAGCCTCAAACTCCCGTGTCATGGTTGCCTGCCATGTAGAATTCAAGGTTGCCTCCTTATGAGAACATGGCTCATAATCATGGGAGATGATTCTCATCACATGCTGGCTGTCCTTACTTAATGCAGTAAAAGAAATGTGCTGGCGTTTAGCAAAAAGTGCATTAAGTGAACTGGTGTGTGTTGTATTGCTTTTCAGGTTTGGTAGAGAATAAACATATTCATTGAGATCGGTGGGTGTTTTAACTATTCTGGATGGTAGGCACTACACATGAAGATGTATGACTATCAAAATGATTAGAAGTATTTGGGTTGTCTGGTGAAGTTTCAGTTCTACTTTGGTCAATAGTTTCAGGTCCACTAGATAAAGGAGTGTTGGTGACAAAACTTGGTGATGTCCTAGTTTGTAGCTGACAATCACTTGAAGTATCAGGCATATGATTCATACAAGTAGAGTCTAAATGTAGTGATGGCAAGACACAAGGAAAAGATGCATGGTTGGAAGGAACATCAAAAGGAAAAATATTTTCAAGAAACTGGACATCCCTAGAAATGTGTATCTTCTTGGTGGCCAAATCTAGTACCTTGTAACCTTTTTGCCAAAAGAGTATCCCACAAAGACATGAGGTCCAGTTCTTGGTTTAAACTTATCTTTGCGAGCTTTGAGAACAGTAGGATAACATATGCATCCACAGCTTTTGAGATGTGAATAATATGGTTTTCTTTTGTAAAAGACCTCAAAAGGACATTTATTGTTAAGGAATATGGAAGACAATCTATTTATCAAGTAGGTGGCTGTAATGTTGCACTCTCCCCAATACTTAATAGGTAATTTAGACTGGTATAATAAAGCTCTTGCAGTCTCTAGTAAGTATTTATATTTTCTTTTCACTACACCATTCGGTTGTGGTGTATATGGACAAGTTTTTTGGTGAACAATGCCCTTTGATTGAAAAAATGATAAGGATTCATTATTGTCAGATCGTATGGACTTAACAGAAGAATTAAGCTGATTTTCCATCATGTACACAAAGGCTTTGATAACCTGAATAATGTTACTTTTGCTGCTTAACAGGTGTGTCCAGGTTGACCTACTAAAGTCATCAAACACAGTTAGGAAAAATTTATAGTTGTCATGTGTGACTGCATGATATGGTCCCCACAAGTCCATGTGTACCAGCTCAAATACTTTGGTGGATAATGTGATTTTCGGGGGAAATGACAATCTTGTTTGTCTAGCCATGAGACAAATTGAACACAAAAAGGGTTGTTTAGGTGCACAAGTTGCAGGAATGGAGGGGATACTCTTCATTTTCACAAAAGGTACATGGCTTAATCTATTATGCCACAGAAAATCAACACAATTTCCATGACATGAAGAATGAAATGAAGATGCACATGTATTAGCAGTACAAGAAGTTATAGAACACACTTTCTTATCACTTGAATGTGATTTATTTACAGATGATGATGATGATGAAGGATAAAAAGCAGAACAGTGCCTTCCCTTATTTGAATGAATACTATTTACAAAAGATGATGAGGGATTGGAAGGCACATTCTGTGTATTCTAAGTAGAAATAGAACATGAACTAGAAATATTAGAAATGGGAATAGAGGATGAAACAAGGAACTGACACTTTGAGCAGAGGAAATACATGCCATTCCTCGCTCTACCAATCTCTACAGGACTGTTCACTGAAGGGGCCTACAAGATGCATGAAGAATCAAAAAATTGAACAACAGATTTAAGATGTGATGTCAAGAAATGAACTGAAATCAGATTGAACTTAAAACTAGGGACAAATAATATTTTGTGTAAAGTCAGTTTGGGACTAAGGACCACATTACCAATTTCCGTCACTCTTACTCTATATCCATTTGGCAAGTTACTAAAAAAGGATAAGGTAGAATTTTGGTATTAGTTAAAAGTGCTTTATTATACGACATATGGTTAGAGGCCCCTGAATCTAATATTCAAAAATCAGCAGATGACTTGAAACATTTACAAGAAAGATTGTCAATTATTTCTTCATGAGTGGATCAAGCCAATATACCTGCAAAGTTTGCAGCTCCACTAGTAATATTGTTTGAGACTTTGACTGTATTTTCACCATGAAAGTTCTCCAGTAGACACAACAACTGATTGTATTGCTCCTTCATCAGATTCTGAATCCCTTTGCTTTGGCTTCGATTCTCAATCTCATCATGACCTCCAAAACACATCTCCTCAGACCCTCTATGTACATTTTCAACGGATGCTATATTTTTCCCGTTTGTAAATTTGAAATCTTGAGGAAATCCGTATACTCTATAGCATTTATCCTTGGTGTGTCCTCCTTTTTTGCAATAATCGCAAAACAATCGAGATTTATTAGGTGGTAGACCAATCCTATATGAATTATTCCTTGCAGTATTTCTTTGTTGAGCATAATTGGTACTGAATGTGTTGTTCACAAGCCCATTAACATTCTATGAAGCAGATTCCATGACCAAGTGACTGTTTGGCCTAACCTCTCTCGCTCTGTTTTTCTTCTTGAATCAAGATGAAAAATGCTTGTGCTATGCTAGGTAATGGGTTCATCACCAAGATACTTTCCATCACAACAATATATACCTCATTTAGTCCCATTAGAAATTGGATTGGTCTCCGATCCTGCTCAACCTTATACATATTGGCCATGTCACCACAAGTACACTAGCAACTACATTACGCATCTGTGTTCAAGGTGTTTAGTTCCTCCCAAAGTCTTTTCATTACTGCATAATATCCTGTAATATCTAGGCTCCCTGACTCAATTCATTGATTTTCCTCTAAAGTTGCTCCATTCGTTTGGTTGTACCTATATTCTAATTCATGTCATAGCTCCTTAGCATTATTGACATATTGCAAACTGTCTACTAAATCCTTCGAAAGTGAATTCAGGATCCACGATGTCACTATGTCGTCGCACCGCTCCCACTGCTCGAAAGTTGCGTGATTGGAGTCTGGTTTCTTACACTTTCTAGTTATGAAGCCGACTTTGTTCTTCACTGATAAAGCTCCAAGGACTCCTCTCCTCCAAGATCTATAACTAGTTCCATCTAATACGACCGGTACCAGCATCGTTCCAGCACTCTCCGATGGGTGCATGTATAACGGATTGGTTGTATCCAAACTAGGGGTAGTTGAACTCAAGTCATCCTTATCTCCAGTCATGAGTTGACAAGAAAATATAGAAACGAGCAATAAATTGATGGATTTGAGAAGAAAAAAGCAACAATTTCAACGAAATTTGGATAGATCGCGATTTCACAAACGTTCGATTTGCGATTTTGAATTGAACAAAAAAAGGCAATGAAGAACATGAGTGAATGAAAACAAGATCCAAAATTGAAAATTAGGCTTTGATACCATGTTAAATTCAGAGATTAACCATGAGCGTAGGATTCCATTGATGTGGCACCTTGAGCTCGAGAAACAAATGAGAGATTGAGCGTTCATTGAGAAGAAGTTTCTAGAAAAATGAAAATGAGGAAATGAATACTAACTTGTATTCATTTTCTATGTTTCTTTTATATACACACGTGTGATAAGAAAAGAAAATAACTAAGCAACTAATGCTAATGCTAATTACTTATGTACCCCTATAACTGCCTAACTTATTTAACTGTGATAGCTACTACTAATTACATGAATAAATACTCTCAATAACCCCCCTCAAGTTGGAGGTGAGGTACTTTATCACGACCCAAAATCCACTAGTCATGGTGGAATCTAACCCAACCCGGAATGTAAGCCAATTAACAATTATCCATTTCCATTTAACTTAATAATCCATTAAACAAAGGAATTATCTAAATCTTATACATTTCCCAGGGACTAGTAGTACAAATCATGAGCTTCTAAGAGTAGAGATTTTAAAACTGATAGGAAATAAATACGTACTTTTGTTTGAAAAGTACATAAACAGAGTTATATAATCTAAGGCTACCGTGAATAAGAGGCAGCTACAGTAGGAACGTAGGTACGCTTTCAAATCCAGCAACCATCGAACGCAGCAACATCGACATCCGAGATCTGCACGCAATGTGCAGGACGTGCAGTATGAGAGTACAACCGACCTCATGAACTCAAAAAGTAACAAACCTAACCTCAAGTTGAAAGCAGTGACGATCTGGAACATAGTCCGAGTCCAACACAAATAACCAACAGCAGTTCATACAGTGAAAATGTTCAACTTTAGGTGTATAAATGCTGAGGAAGGCCAATCCGGCCCCATGGAGAAGATCCATCTCCAGGTGTATAAATGCTTCGGACAAGATCCATGTCCAGGGAAAATTCATCCCTCAAAATAATCAACCGCACACACTGTGAGTGTGTAGACTCCGGAGGGGCTCCCACTACCCAAGCTCTATAATAAGACAATCATGGCATAAATCAATCAGGCCCTCGGCCTTATTTAAAAATCAATAAAACATGCTGCGACGTGCAGCCCAATCCCATAACTATCACTCATAATCAGGCTCTTGGCCTCACTCAGTCATCAATCTCTCTAGTCTCACCCACGGGCTCACAATGTCATGAAAACTAACCCGGAACAATGATATGATGTATCAATAAGTAATAACTGAGACTGAGATATGATATGAATGCATGGATGTGACTGAGTACGAAATATCAATGAATTCAATGAGATGACAACAAGAAACGACCACTATGGGTCCTAACAACATCAACTAAAGCCTAAACATAATATCTAGCATGATGTACAACTCATTTACTTTATCACATGGTGGAAACACAGATATCAACAAAATAGGGCCACTATTCAGTGCCCTGGAAACAACAGAGTCATAATTCACTGGGTGCACGCCCACACGCCCGTCACCTAGCATGTGTGTCACCTCAAAACCAATCACATAACACATAAATTTGGGGTTGATACCCTCAACACTAAGTTTAGAAGAGTTACTTATCTTAAACAAGCCAATTCTGACACCAAGCAAGCCAAGCGATGCTCCAAGAATGCCATCACGCGTGTTCCGACCTCTCAACGACTCAAAAATAATAAAAAAATATCTCAAATACATCAAACAATGCTAAAGGAACCAATCCCAATCGAAAAAGGTTGAATCTTTAATCAAAAGTCCAAAATTGGCCAAAAAGCCCAACCCGGGCCCGCACCTCGAAAACCCGACAAAACTCACAAAATTCGTCAAACCATTCAATTATGAGTTGAACCATACTAGTTTCACTCAAATCCGACTCTGAATCGGTGTTCAAAACCCAAAAAATCATATTATGAAACTTTAGGCTAAAACTGCCAATTTCTTCTTTAAAATTCATCAACCAAAAGCTAAAATCGAAGATAGATTCACGAAATATAACCAAAATCGAGTAGAGAATATTATCCCAATTCATATGCGGAAAATCTCTTCGAAAATTGCCCAATTCTGAGCTTCCCAACTCAAAATATGTTAAATGAACAAAACCCTCATTTTAACACTGTTCTGCCTCATTTCTCGTGTCAAAAGATCTCAAAGCTCACTTTTGATGCCTCCAATGGATTCATTGTAAACTTTTAGTCAAGTTAGGCTCTTGAATCACTCCATTTGACCTTATATTGAAGGAGAGATGTTGGTTTTAATATTTAAAAATAGTGCAGATTTTTAAATACGTAGTCAGTGGCAATTTCGTAATTAATTTGAAAAATCTAGCAACCCAATTCTTAGTAAAATGACCATAAATCCTCATACGATGTCCAAATATGACGATTCTTTTTTGCTATGGCTCCGTAATTACGATACAGATCTAATGCTTAATTAAAACAGAAATCGGAGCTCATTTGTTCAATGTGGTACCATTTATGCTTGAAGAAACGACGTCAAAACATAAGAAAAATGAGTGCAACACAACCCAAACCTATTCGAAACTCACCTGAGCCCCTCGGGACCCCGTCGAAACATACCAACAAGTTTCATATCATAATACAGACCTACTCGAGGCCTCAAAACACACATAACAATATCGAAACGACGAAACCCACCTCAAATCAAACTTAATGAACTTTCGAACTTTTGACTTCCAAAAACTCACGCCGAAACATACCAAATCAACTTAGAATGAAATTAAATTTTGCACACAAGTCCTAATATATCATATGGAGCTACTCTTGCCCCCAAACTATTGAGCGAAGTGTAAATGCTCAAAACGATCAGTCGGGTCGTTACATACACACAACCAACTTGCTAGGAATATTCGTGTGCTTAATCCCTGTTAAGGCCTTGGTTAATATGTCTGCCAATTGATCATGTGTGGAAATGTAAGTGGAGACTGATTAGTCCCTTATGTAGCTTATCCCTTACAAAGTGACAATCCACCTCTATATGCTTTATACGCTTATGAAATACAAGGTTCCTTGCAGCTTGGCTATCACAGAAGATATAGACAAGATGTGGCAAGGTACTGTAAGCTCTTCCAGCAATCTCTTAACCCAGATCAACTCTCCAACCACCTTCCTGACAGACCTATATTATGCTTCTGTAGAGGACAAGGATACTGTCTCATGTTTTTTCGATTTCCAGCTAGTTGAACTATCACCAAGCAAAACGAAGTAACCACTCACAGATCAGCGTGAATCACCATGCTGCCAAGTCTGAATCATAGAAAGCCTTTACTGTACAATCTGAACTATTGGAAAGGAAGATTCCCAAGGTTCGATAATTTTTAAGGTACCTCAGAACATGTATGATAGCCTTGAGATGTGGCTCTCTAGGAGACTGCATAAACTGGCTTAAGTGTTGTACACTATAAGCAATATCCAATCTTGTATTGGTTAGGAAGTTAAGTTTCCCAACCAATTTCCTGTTGTGTGTAGGATCAGGCAATAGAGATCCCTCATTGGCCTTTAGTTTGATGCTGCAATCAAGAGGAGCAGAAAGTGTAGTATATTGATTGTCATACTCCTTTAATAGGTCTGTAGTGAACTTCCTTTGTGATATGAGAACCCCATCATCTTTATGAAATACTTTAAATCCCAAGAAATTATGAAACCTTCCTAGATCTTTGATCTTGAATTGTAGGAAGGTCTTCAGTGCTTTAATTTCTTCAAGGTCTGTGCCTGTGAGTATCACATTATCTACATAGACTACCACAAAGACAACCAAAGTGCTGTCCCTTTTATAGAACAATGAATAATCATTTGCCGAATGTGTGAAACCCCTTGTACACAATGACTCACTTGGTTTATCAAACCATTGCTTCTTGCTTGCTTTAGTCCATACAAGGACTTGATCAACTTGAAAACCACATTTGGGGCTTCAACCTTCAGCCCCTGTGGAACCTCCATGTACACCTTCTCATGTAAATCTCCATGCAAAAAGGCGTTATTTACATCTAGTTGGAAAAACTCCCATTCTCTCTTGACTGCTATGTTGATCAAGGTCCTCACAGTTGTCATCTTGACGACTAGAAAAAATGTCTCAGTGTAGTCTGTGCCAGCTTGTTGCTTGTATCCCATTACCACAAGCCTCACTTTGAATCTTTCAACACTGCCATCTATTTTGTGCTTGATTTTTTACACCCATTTGCACCCGATAGCGTTCTTACCTACAAGCAATTGCACTAGATCCTAAATGTGGTTAGCATACAAAGCCTCAAACTCCTGTGTCATGGATGCCTCCTCATAAGAACATGGCTCATAATCATTGGAGATGTTTCTCATCACTTGCTGACTGTGCTTACTTAATGTAGTAAAAGAAATGTGCTCGCGTTTAGCAAAAAGTGCATTAAGTGAACTGTTGTGTGTTGTATTACTTTTCAGGTTTGGCAGAGAATAAACATATTCATTGAGGTATGTGGCTGTTTTAACTATTCTGAATGGTCTCAAAGGCACTACATGTGAATATGTGTGACTATCAGAATAATTAAAAGTATTTTGGTGGACTGGTGAAGTTTCAATTCTACTTTGGTCAATAGTTTTAGGTCCAACAAATAAAGGAGTGCTAGTGACAGAACTTGGTGATGTCTTAGTTTGTAGCTAATAATCACTTGAAGTATCAGGCATATGTTTTATACAAGTAGAGTCTAAATGTAGTGATGGCAAGAGACAAGAAAAAGATGCATGGTTGGAAGGAACAACAAAAGGAAAAATATGTTAATGAAACTGGACATCCCTAGAAACATGTATCCTCTTGGTGGCCAAATCTAGTACCTTA